CGTGTGCTCTTCCGATCTAATGTCTCTGAAATATCGTGATGAAAATGAATTAAAAAGTTGGCTAAATTTCGGTCAATATAAATGAATTACGGATTATGCACTTTGTTGGCTTGCTCTGTCCGTAGAATCGATGCTCGGTGTAATACATCAAACCGCCGTATTCTACGCCGATTTCATACATTAGTCCACCTTCCAAAAACCCATTTGTTATCTCCCATTCTCCGCCGATCATGATTAGAATAGGCCCATCTTTCTTCAGAAACGCGGAGTTTTCTTTGTAACGCTACACAGCAATCGACCAGTGTTAAGTCGTATAAAAAAAGTGTGTTTTAAGTAGAACAAGCTCTGATTGAGTGATGACAATAATTACCATCGACCAGGTGCGATTGTCTCGATGATTGAAATGATCGAGAGGCTGAGTGATCCAACCGTCAACTATATTGTTGCCCGCATATTTTGTTAACGGCTCTGGCTCCTCCAAACCATGAAAAGTAAATCCACGAAAACCCACCCCGTTGACAAGAGGATGAACCGAGCACAGGACCAGCAGTATGTTTAATGCGATCATAATATCGGATTTCTTTGCAATTGTACAGGTTTCGTTTATTTTTCAAAGCACGCTAGATATACTAAAATGCGACTGGTTAATACTTGTCATTTCCTTCAATCACAATCAGCGGTATGCGATATCTACCATCAACGACCGATAACGCTGATGATTATCACATTTTTTTTCTTAGAGGAAACGGGAAAAACAATACCCTGATTAAATATCCGCGAAAGTAATCTGATGATTACGGAGCGTCTATCGATTAAAACATTGCTTGAATAACACGGATGTACATCTTTATCGCACGATAAGCGATGCCATGATTAAATGTATGATTTTCGTAAGAGATATTTTAAACAAAAATATTTAATTTAGAGCATTTTATTTATATTGTACAGTTTTACCGACAAAACTGAATCAATCCAGTTAGAACATATTACGAAGCATTACTATTGTTATTGAATTATTATTTAACTCGCCAAGGTAAAAAAATATTTGTATCTCATATTTTTTAGAATTTGTTACATTTAAAAACATTTATAAAAAACTTTTAAATTTGTCAGATATTTAAATTTTTTTCAAAAATTGTAGAACAAAAAATCTTAAAAGTTTTGAATATTTAAAAATTTTCACATACAAAGAATATTCTGAAAAAGTTAGTGATGAATATAGCTTGTTATTGTAAACACAATATAATTAATTAAAAGACAAGCCAAAGACGAGCACTCATTAGATCTATATTTAATTATTTATTATTTCAAATATAATTTCGCGATACTAGTTTCGACCTCACTGGGTCTTTTTCGATCGTCTAAATTAACCTATTAACATATAAACAACGCATTGAGTATAAATAAATGGTAAATAAATTAATATGAGTTAGATCATTACAATGTACAAATAATAATAAAAAACGAAGTCAGATATTATAAATTTTAAATTAAACGCAGTCATTATAGATTCTTATCGTCCTGAATGAAATGCGTACCAAAAAAGTAAATTGTTGGATGATTCCTGTCAAATAGGGTATACCAAAATTTCAGCATGACGTTAAATTCATGTTAGCATATGTATATAAATTTGTCGAACAAAAGTTTGCTCAAGAATGCCGTTACGTCTATTAATAATACATATTGTTGTAGCTATTGAACTAGAACTCTTTTCTATTATATAAAAATGTACATATAAATTGTTGTAGCTATTTAACTAGAACTATTTTTATATAAAATAAATAACACAATTTCAGAACTTTGGTAATTACAGTATAAAAATTTACATGCTTGTATTAGAGATGATATTAAGCCTATTTAATATGAGATGTATTTTGGTTAGTGTTTTATAACGTATTGACTAAAACAGAATCCTTCGATCTTGTCAAGTACTAATTAATGTTAATTGCGTCTATTATAGACCATTTCAAAACAACATTGCTAGTTAAAACCTACCGTTAGAGAGTCTTTCTAGCAAATTGAAATAAACGTCATCTAAAAGAGCACTGTGACTTCAATCGCATTAATTCTATTTTTTTGGGACTTAATGTGAATCGTCTCAGATGTTAGTCTTTTATAATAATTTGGTTTGTAGTTAAGAATTATAACATTGTCCCAATCATACGTATGATTAAATTTTAACATGTAATTTGTATATGATGACCGAATGTTTTGAAATGTCTAGATTCATGTTTTTTCTATGTTCAATGACCCATATTCTCATTTGTTTCTTTGTCTGACCTACATATGAATTTCGCAGTCTCCACACTGTATTTCATATACAACGTTATTGTTCGATTCTTGATCAGTCTCATCTTTATGTCTTTTTAAATTCTAAAAAAGATAAACTCTTGCAATATTCCTGATGAGAATACCATTTTACGCGTGTAAAAAAATTAGAGCAATTTTCTAAAAAATTATAAAATTCTGAAAAATTCTGATATTTATATAAATAAAAATTCTAAGAAGAATTTTCACCAGAATATGTAAAAACCTAGTTCAAATAATTGTATAAAAGGCAGTTTGTCGCAAAAATTGAGCAGCGTTAATACAAAAATTTTTGTTATTCTGTTTTTTATTTGATCGTCACTTTCGTACTTGTCATTTCAATGAAATTTTGCCGGTATAATAATTATAGTCTTTATAGTATAAGCTTTGACTATTTTCAAAACACCTCCATATTTCCTATGTCGGATCTACATCTCTTTTAATAATCTCAAATGCTTTCTTCTAATGATTTTTTGCAACTACTTATGTTTTTTTTTTAGATTTCTTTTTACACTTTTTAGAAAGGCGAATATCGAATGTATCGTTTTATTATTCTGGGTTTTCTCCGTCGGATGAATCTTTTATATTTTTTGTACTTGTCATAGATTCTATTTTACGATTCAATTGATGACATTT